AAAAAAACAACTGAAAAAGGCCATCAAAATGAGTAACTTACTTCCTTGATTTCCTTCTGTCCCATATGAACAAAAAGTAACTGTGGAGGGACCCCCTGCAGGTTCTCCCCAGGTTCCGCTTCCACCGCAATATCCCAGATGGTAACCTGATCGTCCTCTCCAGAAGCCATCATAGTAGTCGACTCCTGAGGGCACCACTCAACAGAAGTGATGGGGCCTTGATGATGCTTAAACCGAGCTACCGGCTCTCCATACTGGAAAAGAAACAGAAATAAATATTTTGGTATTTTCTCAAAAAACATAAATGCGACACAGTAGAAGACAGCCTCACAAATGAACGATGTGACTACCTGCACAGTTTTCAAAGACCAAACTTTCAGCACTGCATCGTCCCCACCAGACACAATAATTGGCTCATGTTCATTCCATGAAAGAACATTAACGTCTGAGTCGTGTGCATTTGGAATGGTACACACGCAAGCTTCAGCGGGAGAAGACCTAAAAACTCAACATGCACAGCGATACAGTTCATCTCAAACCAGTGTTGAAGCGCAATAATAATCTGATTTACTAAAACACCTGGTGTCCCATAATTTAATAGAACCGTCGGAAGAAGCTGATATAAGGAGCGCCATCTCAGTGGGAGACCAAGCAATATCTTCAACAGAACCTTTATGCCCTTTAAACGGCCTCTGACTAACGTTCCAAGTACCTCCATCACCCATCTTCCAAATGTTCATTTCTCCTTTGTTATCACCAGAGGCAAGTGTTCCTACAGGATCAAAAAGCTAAGGAGAAAAGAATGTAAAGAATAATACCATACTCCACTACCGTCCAAATTATTTAAGCATCCTCCGACAAACTACAAAATAAAATCCTCTCGCAAATCCTCATTATACACACCCGTTTCCAGATTCGACCATGCAAGACCGTATCCTTCATCTCTATGAGTGATGCAAGAAAACAGAGGACGTTCATTTGGAAATTTTGTGGAAGAACTACCGCCTTCAGTGTCAAAGAGTTCTTTTAACGGATTACTAACGTCCCATAGCTGAACTTTTGCCAGATCATTCCAAACTGCACAAACCGTACTCTGTCCAAGATTAGCCACCTAAACTAAACTTTAGGCAAGCATATAATGATTAAACAAAAACTAATGCATGTGAAGCTCAAACCGTATACAGTAAAAATGAAGACCTTTCCGAATAACAATTATTTCTTTTAAATTGTGGTTCAAAACACTAGCCAAAGATGTGAACACTCCGAAAAGAATGAAACGCTTACACGGATCCTGTTTATTCTTCCACTATGAGGAATTATTGCAGTATGCATTTTCGGGTCATTTTCCTTTTCTTCCTCCTCCTCCCCTACAGACACATCAGACTCCGACTCGTCCTCACCTTCTTTAAAAAATAGAGAAAATTAAAAACATAGACAAACACAATGCATTTTTGTCCAGTTTAGTCAGTTTACCAATTTCCTTGTCGCGAACTAATGAAGTTTGAAGTTTTAAAGTGGTGGCATCTTACTAAAAACATTCTTAGGTCTTAGAAGCAAGGCACAAACTAACCTTTCACACCGTACATATTACATAGCTTCATCACTATCAACTGGTTCTTACGACGTACATCTCCTTGAGTACCGGCTACTATATAGCATGTCAGTGGAAACTCACTTCTATTGTTGCCTAACTGGTCCGGGATAGTGTCAAAACTCAAACACGGAAATTCTAAAGTAAAATTAATATGGGGCTCTGCACAGAAGTGCAAAATACACCAAGTCCTCAAATTTATTAATACAAAAGCTCACTGGTATTGAAAGCGTGGAATAAGCGGTAAGCTTCAGGATCAAATTCCCACTCTTCACCTTCCTTTAATGGCCGGCTAACACCAGGAATGTATGCCTGAAACTTGACGCTAAACAGAAAAAATAAGTGAGCAGGAGAGAAGGATAAAAGTAAAGAACAACTATTGTACATAATTTAAAGCTTTTTTTAAGATAACAAAACCACAAATCGGTAGTCAAAGAAAAAGTAAATTACCTTCTTAGAAGATTCACGAGTTTTTACTTCATCCTCGTCCATCTCTTCATCATCATTTGAAGACGACGCATCACCATCTTCTCCTTGTTCCATTTCATTTTCCTCAACCATGATCCCTAAACCCAACTGCTGCTTAACACAGCGAAGAGACAAAGATAGGACAAACACTGCATATTCAAACGTACATGAAGATGAGAAGTAAGTGTGTGCTCGACATTTCTGAAGGAACAGTTAGTTGCCTGGCACTTTTTTTTCAAACTTTTGAACAAATATATATATATATTTTTCCACATGTAAGTTTCAGGAAGTAGAAGCAGAGACATAATAAACGAAAAAAATTCAAAGTTATGCTGAGTGTATGCTACTCCTATCACACCTATAAAAGCTGCTATCAACTTAGATATCTCCAACTACAAGAAGCAGAAATGTAATATAAGTTATGCTCAAAAAAAGAAGCCCCATACCATCTTCTGAACAAAAAAAAGGACTTTGACTAAACAAAATAAAGAAGTAAAGTAACCATACAATAACCTGCTATTCTGAATTTATTATGGGAGCTCCCGATCCTAATTTAGTGTTTATAATTTTGGAAGCCGAAGACGTATTTTCTTGGAGGAGTTTCAGCATCGTTGGCATATTGCCATAATATTATGAAAATTTAAACTGCCTGCACAAAGGTATATATACTAAACTTTTGTCGAAAATGCACAAATGATTTGATACCAATTATATGCTGTTTATCAACGTTTTATGTTTGCTTTTCAAAATTTCAAGTCCTATGATTCTTACTGTGTTGAAATTTCAGCAGAAACCTTAGAGTATTTTTATTCTTCACATATACTCTATAATTGAAGTACTACTGTAATAGCTTTCTTTGTATGCCCGTGACTCGTAATTGTTTTCTTTGTTACTGTGGTCGGTGTATCCGCCAGTCTAAGGAAAGAGTAAAAAAGCATGGGATAATTGGGTCTGTAACTGATTACAACGGCTATGAACTGGTAAGAAAAAGGCTCTTGTTGACGCTATTGCTTACACTTATTTCGTCAAAATTTTCGCTTCTTATCACTTTTATGTGTCTCCTTCCCTTTTATGACATTCCGGATAACACATTTTTATGTCTTCTTTGTCAATCAAAAAAAAAGGAAGGAAAACAATCGTTTTTCTTCTCAGTTGTTCTATTAGGAATTTTTAACTTATATAAACTTTGAAGACTTGAACCTTTTTCACTGCTAAATATTTTAATTCTCACCGTTTTTTTCTTCTTAATTTTCAAACAGACGTAAGCAGACTAAGGAAGTCTCCAAATTATAATAAAAGTATTATTTTTGTTTAGGCAGTAATTGATGGCAATAATTATAAAAATTTCATGAAAAAGCAAAAAGTATCTTGGTTATGTAAAACGAAGACCAGTAGAGTACAAATGAATGGTGTATAAATAATTACATGAAATCTCTTTCTTTTATTTCTAAAATTAAAGAAGTTTTTATGGATGGAAGAGAGCAATGAAAATATTTGAATAAATGTAATTTTCAAGTCAACATATCCAGTTAGCACTTGAAGATCAGCATTTTATTCTTTTTTGTTAACTATCAGAACGACAACGATAGTGGTGGCAAAAGTTTTATGTTTGACAGCGGAAAGAAGTTTATCATAGGTAAGTTATCTTTTTAAACAATGAAAAACAAATAGAAAAAATAAGAAGTAGACAAAAAGTTACAAGGAACATTGCTGAACTCAGTTTTTCCCTTTATTTTTTCCCTTTAATATAGATGAAAATCTGAAAGCCGACAGAATAGTGATCTGCTGTTTTCGCCAAACGACAAAATCCTGTTTGTCACCATAAGTCTGAGAATAAACAGAGGGAGAGATATAGGAGGGGGAAGGGGACAAAGAGGGGCAAGAGTCAAAGGAACTGTGTTTTTGTTTTAATACAATATTTTTGGCTGAGATACAGTGTTCTGAAAGATTGTTAGAAGTACCATATATAAATCTTTGAAAAAAACTTTCTTTTTTTTCTTTTACAACACTTGCTTATTGGTCTAACACTCTTCTAATGAGCATCAGGTCTAATATTGCTCTATAGAAACCCGGTAATCAATGCGTAAAGCAAGTTCATTCTGATATTTCTCATCGATCGCTCTCGACGGCAGGCCTAATTTTTCCTACTTTTTTTTTTTTTCACTTACATCTTTTATTTATTCGTTTCAACCAGTAGATTTCTATATTGAAAATGATAGTAGCAAAAACTACTGAACAAAAAACAAGCATGCAGCGATTTGTCATTTATAATCTTTGAGAGAAGGCAAACAAAAATAAACCTATTGAGTATTCTGAATAACAGTGCTTTATCACCGCTTTTAGAGACCTTCCAAATGAAGTAATCAGAAATTGTTTTAAAGCCGAAAAGGTGGTTCTATAATGGACACACTCAGGACTGGCAAATAAACGGAAGAATAAATTTAAAGGAAAGAACCTTTAAGGTTATGGCGCCTTTCTTTAGCCTTTCTTTTTTTTTACTGACTACTTCTGTACTACTGAGTAAAAAACTCGGATATAAAAATATGCTTTCTTCTGCCGTTTACGAATAGTTTGTAACTTTTTGATTTTTCCTAACTGGTTATTAAAAACTACTTGACTAATAAAGTTTCCAAAATGTTAGCTGTATAATAAATACCACAACATTTATACAAAAATAAACAGCTTAAATAAAAATTAATAAATAAAAGAGGAAGAAATAAGTGAAGCGAAGTGTTTGTTCGAGAGAAACTCTAGTTTTTGCTTACTTTAAAACAAGAGTAGAAAGCCTACAAAAGATATCTATTCTCCTTTTTAGATTACAAACATATAATGCGCTAGCAACGACAACTAGAAAGCAGCGAGAGCATATTGCTGACCACCAATATTTTCTATGTATAAGTCAAAACAGTGGCTTTCAATAAGAAAGAATAATTAAGTTTGTTAAAATTTATTCAAGAAATGAAATCAAAAAAGCGATCTGTTCAGTTTAAAGAAAATTTTGGAAGTTGCAGGTGACACAAATGCCATGGAAAGACGAAACGTTAAGCATACCGTAGGGGCCAAATCAAAAATGTGTTAAAAACTTTCAGCGACTTCTAATTTGTTATGAAACCAAAAAAAAATTTATCAAACTCAGAAAAGGTTTTGAGAATTTTTCCAATAAAATCATAAGTTGTATTCTTAGGACTTGAAGTTACTGGAAGCGGTTAGCTTTCAGTTTCATTACGGTAGTGTAGGTTATGAGCAGAGCACTTCTTCGTTCTTTGGACCGAATGAAACCTACCTCTATTAGCTGACGACGTCAATCTGTCGGGTTGGATCTCTAAATGCGTTTCAGAACTCTGCAACATTTTTGCTTTACTTTAAATGGTCAAATCTTCTGAAATTTTTCCACATTTTCATTTTGTACAGTTTGATAGGCGAAAAAGGTTGTGACTATTCTGAAACGGTAACAGTTCGTTCTTTCAAAAGTAGCACAAAAAGCACAAACTTAAGCACTGATAAAGAAAGCTGTTAACTATAAAAGGTTTGTGCTCGTTTTTTTTTTTTTTGGTATTATACACTGTGCAGATCGAGCGTTATTCTATAGAAAACTTGTCAATTTTTAATCAAGGAGTAATTTTTGTCGAATTTTCATAAGATTGCAAGAAAAACATCTGAAGTTTAATGTAAAAGCTAAAGAAATGCTTTGAAAAGGTTTTATTATTTTTTTTCTGTTAAAAGCAGTTTTTTACTTTGCATTCAAAATTAATTTCTCCAGATAAAGGCGCGGAATGTAAAAGTGATAAATACTATCTGTTTGCCGGCAAGGAAAGAGCTTGACATATAAAATTTGACGTTTCTTGGGTTCGTTCAGTACGACAGGAATTAATCAATTGAGCTTTAAACAGTTTGGTTTTGCATGGCTATGTTTGAACAATACCAACTTAACGCAGGCTGGTTTTATTCAATTGCGGCTTTTAAAAATGCCGGAAAGACTCATAAATTAAATTTCATACAGATGCCTAATAAAATGTTTTTAACTACCTTAAATTTAGAGGTGAGTTAAAATGGTAAGAGTTGCTGAAAGACCAGTAGATGGGAGAAACTGATCAGACGACAGTTTCTTAACTGACAGGACATCGGTAACAAGTTACTGATAATAAAATTCTAATGTCCTTGACGCATTATTTTCTGTTTAAGGCACCTTTCCTTTATCTTCTGGAATTTCAAAAACGTCCTTATTTGGTGGTTATGTCTGCGAATAGGTTCGCTAAATGGACATTGGGATTGCGTAATGTATATAAATCATGACTGTTTTTATTGTCTAAAAAGAGAGTTAAAACATTTCCTTTCTTTGACGGTGAGGTCGAATAACACTCTACTGCACTCTTGTTCTAAATTCAGGAATCATTATCCTTTAGCTGCATTAGTCCATGGTAATTTTATTTCTTGCTATGTGTTTGTTTTGTTCGTCACACCACTTTTCCCCACATCGATATTAGTTGATAACCATTTACGGTTCGATTCTCTTACATCACTTTTTGGATGTTTTTCGGGGATGTTAGTTGTCACTCGTCTCTCACATTATTCCACAGTTTGCTTTGTGTTCAATATTTTAAAGTTTTTTCTTTCTTTAACCTGTAAAACTAATAATGCGCCTCACTGTTTTACACAGTTGCTGACAAATTTATGAGCACTGATCTAACGTTTATTTGAATAACATATGAAGCAAAATGTTGGTGTTACAACAGTTCTTTCAAGCTATCTTCTAAGAAAGACACTCCTCGAATAAACTTAAAAGAGAAACCTAATAAAACAAAATGCAGACGCTTTATCGAGAAATATTAGAAAATTGGCTGGTCTTCAGTTCTTTATAAAAAGTGGCAACTGAAATGAATATTGAACAGTTTGACAAAAGCACCTTTATGCACAGAAACTCCTTCCTGTAGCGATGCAGCTGCTTCTAACGGAAACATAGAAAAAGTGTATGTTGGTGTTTTTCAGACAAGTTAATTTCCTGCTAAACAATTTTGTAAACTATACTTGAATAGGTACAGAATAAAGTATAAAATGGCAAAGTCATTTAATCTTTCCATAGTAAGCCCCAGTTG